CCAAACGAATGTGTGCCCTCCACATACTGACCGAGGGTCTTATGTGTAATCTCCATCTCCATGAACGTAAAACTAAACTGTAAGGCAGCTACCAGGGCCACATTTTCATAGGACCTCTTGAGGCCATGTGCTCTGGGCCAGTCACACACATTTATACATTTTGCACACAAGTTTCATTTTTTTTTCCCATTAACAAATATAATAGTAGTGGGCTGAGAGATGGTTGTGTTCATTTTTTCTTTTTTCCAATCCCATGCCATGTCATATCATTCTTCCCAAAAGTTCTCCATTTCCATTTACCAACTTGGGGTAGGCTAAAAACACAGAATTGGTGACTTGCAAGGGACACAGACGCTATCTGATGCAGTGCCCTGACATTCCCGATGAGGCAAACATGCAGCATCTGCTATACTTTCCAGTGGCTTTTAAAGACGGAACACAGGCCTGGAATGTTGAGTCCTGCACCTGCCCCTTCTTTACTTTTGGCAAGACACTGAACTTCCCAGATTGAAACTCTCATTTGTACGACACGGAGCACACTGCGTCACTGCATGGTTGTAGGAATAACGTGACATATACGGAAGTGCTCCGTGCAGAATAGTTTCTCATGAAATATTATGTCCCTCTTGCCAGTTCCTTTTTACACTCTGATGAGATTTATGGTACGTTACTCTGTTTCCTTTAGGAGCGGTAAAAAATTAGTCTTACTGCTTTATAACCTGTGACTTCTCTGTGAATACCAGAAGACAACCTGGAGAAGTTCTTTATTCAAATGCCAGAGACCACATTTCCTCCCAGCATATGGTTTTAATAATAACTTGAAAAACAAATCAATGAACATTCCTTCATTAGAACAACTTTTCAAGTTTCTGCTTACTTGGTCCAGCAAATATTACTAAGTACTTACCACGTGCCAAAAACTATGTTAGTAGCTAAAAATTTAACTAATTAAGATATAAAAGTATTTTTCCTTAAAAGTTAAGAATCATCTGAAAAACAGACACATACTAACCAACAATTGTACACATAGCTTTTTGCTAATGATTATGTCACATGCAAATTACAACATGAATAAAACTGAGAAAATCACATAATATGCATCTGGGCTGGGTTCTTCACAGGCAGCAATTTTGAAAAACTCAGTCTTGAGAATATTCATTCATCCATTGAGCAAATATTTATAGAATACCTACTATGTGCTAGACATTATAATAGTTGCTGAGAATAAAAAGATGAAATGAGGGAGGGGTCCCCAGAAATACGGAGTTTAGACTAATTTATGATAATTCCAATTCAGTGTAATAATTATTTTAGTATTAAATGTATTCTAAGAAGGCCAACTTCTCCCCTTGATACATGAATAAATAAATAACCATTACTTTGTGTTTCAGGATCCTTTGCTTTTTATTTTATTTCAGGTTAATTTGAGGATACAAAACAATAGGTTACAATATTTGCATTTGTTAGAGACAGTCCCTCCTATAATTGTGTTCCACCCCTAAGAGATGTGACATACACCCTAAAATTGTACTCATTAAGTGGGATCCCCCTTCAATCCCCGCCACCTTGAATGGATTTGAATTTTTCTCTTATACAGGCATGTATTACATCGTCTACGGACTTCATGTTAGGACTGAATACATTGGATTCTTGCTTCTCCATTCTCTTTTTTTTGAGACAAAGCCCCACTATGAGGCCCTAAGTAGAGTGCCGTGAGGTCCAGCTCACAGCAACCTCAAACTCTTGGGCTCAACTCTTGCCTCAGCCTCCCAAGTAGCTGGGACTACAGGTGCCTGACACAACACCTGGTTATTTTTTGGCTGTAGTTGTCATTGTTGTTTGGCAGGCCTGGGCTGGATTCAAACCCGCCAGCTCTGGTGTATGTGGCTGGTGCCCTAGTCACTGAGCCACAGTGCCAAGCCTTGCTTCTCTATTCTTATGATACTTCACTAAGAAAAATGTGTGTTGGACATCTTATACTACACTCATCCTATCTAAAATCCTATAAAGAAAAAAATAGATAAAATAAAAACTTCAAGAACAGAGTGTCCCTTCCTCCCCCTTCCCATGCAGCAAGCTAAGTGTGGTGTGTGAGTGGTCTTCAGGATTTCAAGGTAAGACCAATGACCATGGCCGGAGGGATGCTTGACACTGCAAAGCTGCATCGGGGAGGCTAGAACTGGAAAATCCAATTCAGATTGGGTCAGGGAGGGAAGATGGGCCAGAAGAGAACACCTGAGAGAGGGAGAGCCCTGCTGGAGAGCTGCTGTTGGCTCTGGCTACTCCTCACACTGACACCAGCAACAGCTCGTTATCCGTGTGCATAGAGAGTCAGTTCCTGACACTCCTCACAGTCTTGTTATTTTGGGGGGGAGGGGCCGGAGACAGAGTCTCACTTTGTCGCCCTTGGAGCGTGCCATGGTATCACAGCTCATAGCAACCTCAAACTCTTGGGCTCAAGTGATTCTCTTGCCTCAGCCTCCCAAGTAGCTGGGACTACAGGCATCCACCACAACACCTGGCTCAGGCTGGTCTTGAACCCATGAGCTCAGGAGATCCACCAGTCTCAGTCACTCAAGTACTAGGATTACAGAAGTGAGCCACTGGGCCTAGCCTCATACTCCTGCTATTAATGTAACTGAGGTCTTAAAAAAGAATGTGATGCTAAGTGAAGAAAATATTTTTTTGCGGGGGGGGTTATTTATCTTAAAAGGCATTCCCAGGAAAAATAGACAATTAAGTGGCAAGTATATATAACCCAACCTGGGGAAGGAGGTACCCAGGAGGGTGTTTCTTTCTCTCTAGTGTCCCATTATATCACCCAGAACATATCTGGAAAGCACACAGCCATTTTAGCATGTAAAAGTTATTGCTGTACGGAGAGGGTGAAATTGCAAATGCTGCCTTCTAGCCAAACTGAAATGATGATGCCACACGAGGCTGGCAGCTTTGTGAAGGTGCATCACAGTGTGACCCGAGTGCCAGCCCTGTGCTGAAACCGCAGCTGCCACCTGTCACTGCTGGGAAGCACGCTGGCGGGGAGTGTGGGACGCAGCAGGGTGGCTGCCTCCCTGGGGGCCCACCAACGTTTGTCTGCTCCTGAAAGGACATGCATGGGTATTCTCCCACAGGGCCAGCCTCCTTGGTAGTAGACGGTAGGGGGTGGGAAGAGGAGTAAATTAACTCAACAGAACACTTGGCAATTCAATTGTTATAATGCCTTGCCCACTAAGATCAGAGCTACAAGTACCAGAACCAAATGTCCTCAATTTCTCTTGTTTTTGCTTTTCTTGCTCTAAACATTCAAGTAAGTTTTATTTTTATTCATCAATTCCTTTCTAGACTCATTAGTGTATATACACTGAGATAGAATATGGTTCACATGGTAAAAAGTCAATCAAACTTTATTAAAAGTGAAAATGAATGTGTATGAAGAAAGCAATGGCTCTTTCTGAAATATGTGGATTTTGAAGCCAAAAAAGAGATACTTGGCCTGACTAACACTAACGTTTATGGTAAAACTGGCCTAGGATCCAGGTTTCCTACCCCCCGCCTGGTAATTTCCACTACTGTATCTAGCCACATCTACACTAAATCCAAACCCTACACAAGTCAAGGTAAGCTGGAGTGGAGACGACACTGGGCCTATCTAAAAGGAGTTTAACACTGCCTCACCTTCACAGTCCTGCTGCTTTTAGGAGACACAGCATTTGTGGAAGAGCTCAGGAAATGATTATTTTAAGTTTGATAAGAATGTTAGAGAATAGGAAACAAGTTGAACTGTGAAGAATAAACAGACAAGAGACAGAGGCCACATCCTTCCTCAACTGAAGAGCAAGATGATGAAAGTGTTTACCATAGGATCTGCTTAATAAGGTATGTAATCTCTGCCAAGTATAAAGAGAGCACAGCTCTCCATCCCTGCCAGGCCAGAGTTCCCAGTCTAGGGGAGAGAAATGTAACAACTGCAGTAACCTCAGTAGGTGAGCGATTAGCTCCTCTGCATTTCTTTAGCAATAGTTGACCTTGGTCTAGAAGAACAAATAGGAGACAGTCAAGTGAAACCTGAGGAGATCATTTTAGGCTGGCAAGGAGCACAACAAAGCCTGTGAGCATATGAAAACAGCAGGTTCAGAGAATACAAAGAGTTTAGTAGCCGAAGACAAAGATCTTGACCTTTCCAGTGGCTGTAGATGCAGCAGAAGTTCATCTGGTGCAGGGAATTACTGCAGCCTTTAGAAACTGTGCAAAGAGGTACTAAGCACCTAGCAAGAGATCACTGTTCAGGCAAAACCTAAAAATCTGTGGGTTCCTACATTATAACCCTGCCTGCTTCCCTTTCATTGACAGTAGCTAATAGACTCTCACTGTAACATTTTCAATTACTACTATGAATCATCATCCACTCTTATTTTCTTCATTTGTGGTAAACTAAGACATTATAGGAAGAATTCCAGAGGGTTTCTATTCTTAAAGAATTCCTTTCTCCTCACTTTTCATAGTTCCTTCTCTTAAGCAAGTCTAGGAACTGTATCAAAGGGCAACTGAAAAACTGACTTGTACCAGTTGAAAAAGGAAGAATTTTTGTTTTCTTCACTACAAAGAATTTCCATGGAGAGCCTATATTTAACAGCATAGTTTAAAAGGAAACACTTAAGGGTGAAACCCTCTTGGTATGTGGAGGCCTTTATGTTTTAAATGACTGAATATTTGGAAGAGTGGAATACGGAGGAATGTTGGGTTAAAATCCTGTAGGAGCTTGATAACAAGTCTCCTGGACCCCAGTCTTGTCCTTCCCCATCACTCAATTTTTTCTTTTTTACTTTAGATTTAATTTATTTGATAAAACAGGTCATGTTATTTTTGTACCTCTAGTATTAAGTGCTTAGCATTTATTAAATGGTTGCTGAATTAAGGTAGAGTTATTCAAGCACCAAAACAAGGTGAGGAAGGGGACATGGTCACAACACCCACTGCCACTGTTTGACACCTTCACTTACATAGTCTCCATAGGTCTCTTGCGTTGGGGGTGGCGGTGGGGGTCTGTACCCAGTTGGGGGAGCTCCTCTTGCTCTGGGGGTGAGAAGTCCTCTTCCCCGACTCACTGGACCTCTGGTGGATAGAACTCCCCTGGGAGCTGGTGTCCCCCGAGGGACACCAACTCCAACTGGCCGGGCTGTGACTCCTCCCCTTCCCCTGCAAGGAAGAGAATCAAATTAGCAGTATTTATAATATTCTCTAACACTCCATTCGTCATATACATTTTTATGCCTCAGAGAAATCAAAGAGCTATATTTCTGTAAAAAGGAATGAGGAAATGATAAACAAAGAAAGAACCCAAGGGAGTTAAATCATTCAGGTAGTGAGTCCAGCAACAATACGGTAATATCAAAGAAGTTCATGCTTAAGGTCTGGCGAGGAGGCACCGTAGGAAGCTATGACATCTGCAGAGGCTGCATGAACGCCCAGGTCACAGCCAAACTTCACTTCCACACCATGACGCAGGCCTTACCTCGCTTATCTGTGAACAAGGAAACTGAGCCTTCAAGAGAGTTGAGAACTTAAGGCAAAGCTGGGGACCAAAACATATGCCCTAGTTCCACCAAAGAGGGAATAAAATGTACTTTCCCAAATAACACACCAATTGCATGGCAATATAAAATAGCATCTTTAAACTAAATAAATCTAAGTATTTTCTGAGCAGAATTCAACATATTCAGGTACTTCCAATGTAAAGCACAAGACTCACGTCAGAGAGGAAGGAAGGAGGTGGCTCTCCCAGGAATGGCTCAGCGTAAGCAAAAGCCTGGGAAATGCGCAAGTTCTCTTTGAAGAAATAAGGACAGAAAAGTGTGTCCACACCAGAGAATAAAGACATAGCCGGAACCACCTCACCTACACGATGGCCATCAAGCAAGAGCTGCACCTGATAGTGCTGATTGTCCACAATCAGTGTGTTTGGGATGGCAAACTCATTTCACAAAAATAATGAGAAATTAATGAAATTGAAAGCTGGTCCTTGAAAAGATTAATAAAATTGATCTCTGGACAGGCTAATCAAGGGAAGAAATCCACTGACACCAGAAATGAAGAGTTTCATCACTACTCACCTCAGGACATGTCTAATGAAATGAAGGAATACTCTGACAAACTTCAGGCCCCAAATTTTGTTAATATTGATGAATGGGACTAATTTATGGTAATATACAAATGACCAAAACTCACACAAGGAGAATTAAACAATCTGAACAGGCTTACTTCTATTGAAGACATTTAATCAATAATTAATAACCTTCAGAAAAGAAAACACTACATCCATATGGTTTCACTAAATTCTATTAAATATTAAAGGAAGAAATAATGCAAATTTCTCTAGTAAAATCAGAGGGAATATTTTCTAACTAACTCTATAAGGCTGGTCATTAAAAATGCCTCCTGGTCTTGAACCCTGGCAGGAACCTGTCATAGAAAATATCTCCCAGAATTCTTTTCTAAGTCTCCCTCTGAGGATTACAACTGGTTGGGGGTAGATGGAAAAGGGGGGACAGTTGCTGGCCTTGGGACCAACACAGCTGCTCTCTAACCTCCTGAGGATGAGACAAGTTGTCCTAAAAATCATTGTGGAAAAAGAGATTCATTATATGATGAAAAAGTGGAAATAAGTATCATTCATGAACACAGATACAAAAATCCTCAAAAATATTACAAACTGAATTCAATAATATATTAAAATAATTACACACCAAGACCAAATAGGATTTATTCCAGGTTTATAAGGTAGGTTCAATGTTAGAAAATCAATGCAATCTACCATGTCAAAAAGGCTAAAGTAGAAAAATCTTATAATTGATTATATAAATAGAAAAGAAAAAGCATCTAGCAAAATGTAACACCAAATCATGACAACAGCTTTCAGGAAACTAGGAATAAAGGAAAAATGGCTCAAGTTGAAGAAGAACACCTGAAACAAACATACGTCATATTCAATGTTGAGAAATAGAGTACTTTGTCCTTAGGACTGGAACCGAGGCAAGAATGTCTGCTCCCACTGCTAATATTCAATTCAACGATGCACTAGAGAGTCTACCTACTTGAATAAGACAAGAAAAGTAAATAAAAATTATATAGAATTTGAAGCAAGAAACAAATCTAAAAGAATATCCCCAAAAAATTACTTCCAGAGATAATAAGCTAGTAAAAGATCTAAGAATATAAGCCTACTAACTTAAATTCAACTGGAATTTGAAAATTAAAACACAAAATAATTTACAGGAACCACAAAAAAAATTAAATCTTTTGTTATAAAGCTAACAAAACAGGTACAGAATCTCTGTGTACTACAAACTCCAATGAAAAGAATCAAAGCAAGAGAACATTCCATATTCATGGGTATAAGACTCCATCTTGTTAAGATGCCAATGCTATACAGTTTGATCTATAGACTCAATGCAATCAAAATCTCATCACCCTACATTGTAGATACTGACATTCTAAAGCAGCGCTTCTCAACCTGGGGGTCGTGACCACAAGAACTGTGTTAAATGGCTGCAGCATTAGGAAGGTTGAGAACCACTGTTCTAAAGTATACAGGGAAAAGAAAAAGATCCAGTGAATACAGGTAACATTGAAGAAGAAAAGCAATATTAGAGGAGTTACAGTATCTGATTTCCTACCTATTATAAACTATAGTGATCCAGTCTGGTATTGGAGAAAGAATACATACAGATCAATGAACAAAACAGAGAGCCCAGAAATAGACCCTCAGCAATACAGTCAATGGATTCCTACAAAGGAACAAGATAATTCAATAAAGAAAAACTGGCTGGGTCTTTTTCTTTCAAACAAACAGTGCAGGACTAGATATCCATATGCCAAAACAATCAAACACACAACCAGCCACAGATACAGACCTTAATAACGTTCACAAAAATTAAGTCAAAATGGATTTTAGAATCAAATATAAAATATAAAACTTAAGAATAAAATCCATATGATGTTAATTTGGTGATGAGGTTTTAGATACAATATCAAAAACATAGTCCACGAAGGAAAAATTGATAACCTGGACTTTATTTGTAAAACATGTGCCTGATAAAGGATCTATAACTAAAAATAAAAAACTTTAAAAAATCAACAAAAATGAAATAACCTAACTAAAAAATGGGCAAATACGCTAACAGACAGATCACCAAAGAAGATATATAGATGGCAAATAATCAAGAAAGATGTTCAACATTTGTCATTAAGAAATTGCAAATTAAAGCAGAAATAAGATACCACTTCCATATCTATTAAAAATGATTAAAATAAGAGGTCAGGGTAGGTAGACTGCGTGAGTTTAGAAGTTCAAGAGCAGCCTGAGCAAGAGCAAGACGTCATCTCTTAAAAAAGAAAATAGGGGCAGTGCCTGTGGCTCAAAGGAGTAGGGCGTTGGCCCCATATGCCGGAGGTGGCGGGTTCAAACCCAGCCCCGGCCAAAAACTGCAAAAAAACAAAAAAACAAAAAAAAAAAAAAAGAAGAAAATAGCCAGGCATTGTGGTGGGCACCTGTAGTTGAGAGGTGGAGGCAAGAGGATCGCTTGAGCCAAGGAGACTGAGGTTGTAGTAAGCTATTACATATTACATCGTAGCACTCTACCCAGGGCAAGAGAAAGAGACTCTGTCTCCAAAAAAAGAGAATATATCAATTGTTGGTGAGGATCTAGAACAAAAGGAATGCTCATCCATTCCCTGTAGGTATGCAAAATAAATAAGTAGATATACGAGGAAAGTAAGATTTTTCTTGTTGGAATGAATGTTATAGATAAGCAAGGGTAAGAGGCTTTAATGATAAATGTGAGAATTGATTAGAATCAGAGACTTTAGTATGAACTCATTTCAGTTTACTATAGATACAGAGGATTAAATGAAGAAAGCCCCACAGAGAAGCATACAGACACAGGTTAGTACACACACAGGCATGTCCATACGCTGTCAGCTCAGAGAGCCTAGGAGCAAGGAAGGGTGTTCTGGCAATAACAAGCTGAACTAGCACCCTGATCTGGGTCTCTGGCAGTAACAAGCTGAACTAGCACCCCGATCTGGG